TAGTTTAACTGATTAAAAATGACTATCAGGATTGCACTCATTCGTAACACAGGCCGGTCTCTATCTTGCCAGTGCTCAGTAAAGTGTTTGAAAGATTGATGCTTACTCAGATGCTGCGTCACTTTAACATGAATACTATATTTCATGACCAACTATTCCTATTTTACATATATAAATGATTTGCCATATTTATTTGAAAATGAACCACATATTGTATTGTTTGCTGATGACACATCATTGGTTTTTAAAATAAATAGACGAACAAATAATTATGACGACGTAAATAATGCTCTGATGAAGGTTCAACATTGGTTTACAATAAATAACTTAGTGCTAAACGATAAGAAAACGAAATGTATTAGATTTGTTCTGCCAAATGTTGGAAGTAAGGAATGTGACATATTATTAAACAGTCGGAAATTAGAATTTGTAAAAGAGACTACATTTCTGGGAATTACTGTAGATGACAAATTGCAATGGCGTCCTCATATTACATCTCTAGCGGGACGATTAAGCTCTGCAGCTTATGCTGTCTGGAAGATCCGACAGTTAACCGACATAGACACTGCAAGACTAGTAGTGTACTTCAGTTACTTCCACAGCATCATGTCGTATGGCATTTTGCTGTGGGGACACGCTGCGGACACTGAGTCTATCTTTATCTTACAAAAGCGCGCCGTCAGAGCTATATACAACCTAGGTCGTCGCGAATCTCTCAGAGAAAAGTTTAAGGAGATCAATATTATGACCGTTCCATGTCAATTTATTTATGAAAACATTATGTATGTTAGGAAGAACCTACAGTTGTTTGGTAAAGTGTCTGACACACCACTATCAAACTAGACATAGGGATAGACTAAGTCAGCCACTATTTAGATTGACAAAAGTACAAAAGTCCTTTATGGGATTCTGTGTTAAATGCTATAATAAAATTCCGGAGGAAATACAACATTTAAATGAGTCAAAATTTAAATTATATGTTAAAAAAACGTTATGTGGAAAAGCATACTACAAACTTAATGATTACATAGAGGATAAAAATGCTTGGAGGCATGCTGGTCCGGCTCCACAGGATAGCGAAAAACATTGATGTTCCAATGAGTTCCAATCATGTCAAATACAGCCATTTTGTTCAAATGTACACTGTAAAACTTTATATAAGTATTGTAAATGTGAGAGCCCTGTAACTAACTAAATTAAATTAGACTAGTAGAATGCATGTGTGTCAGCTTGGAGTTGTCATGCTCACTGAAAAGTCTCATTGGCAGTGGCACGGGCAGTGGATCGCTCGATTCCCTATAACATGGTCGAGTTGGGCGGTGCTGGTGTACGTGTCATGTTCGTGAACGGGCGCTGTCAAATGGGACTGGTCAGCTCCAGACTGTATTAAATTTGTTGTCCTCAAGGTTATTTTCTTTTTCCGTCTCCTTGACCAAATATTGGTATTACATTGTTCTCACATTATTGAACTCAACGGAAGAATGTAACCAAAAATTGTATTGTGAACATGATTGAAAAAGAGTAACCTATGGAGTTTCTTGCTCGTTCTTCTCCATACGAATCTACACTTTGGAACGAGCAAATAGCTTCACTAGAGGACTGACCTACAGACTGACATTTTTTGTTATTATTTAATATTTAAATATTTTGTTTTGACGTTCAAAAGTGCCTTACTGGTCTAATTGAAATAAATGATTTTGACTTTGACTTTGTAACGTTAAGTAAAATACAATTTTGAGAGGAACTCGTTTCTATTTCTATCTTTTGTAGTTGGTAGGTATACATAAAATTAAATACAAAACAGAATTGCGTTGAGCAAGCGTGGTGATTAATGCTCCACTCAAACCTTCTCTGCGTAAGAAGAGGCCTTTGCTCAACAGTGGACATTTTTATTGACTGATTATTATTGGATCTTCTTAGAATGAAACATGACTAAATATGATTAACGCTCAAACCTTCCCCGTGTGAGAAGAGGATTTGCTCTTTTGCGGTAGGCTCTTATTGGTTGGTGATGATAGATACACTATAATAATGAAAATAAAACAGCAAGCTATGGAACACAGATATTTTATTTTAGGAAAATCTATTTCAACATTTATTTAACACTAATAGACTTTGTAATAAGTAATAATATTGCCATTTGACTTTAATTACAACGTTGCTACTGAACTTCTTCTGAATAATAACGAAACATCTATAAATTGTGTTTTTATAATAACACGGGCTCACAGAAAACCGACGTGAAGCAACGCTTGGGTTGTGTTTCGTCGTGCGAGTGGGGTTACCGGAGGCCCAATTACCCTCCCCTTCCCCAATCTCCCCAATTCCTGAATCCCCAATGATCCTCAAACTCCTAAACCCCAAAAGGCCAGTAACGCACTTGTAACGCCTCTGGTGTTCCAGGTATCCGTTTGCCCGTTTACTGGCTTATCCCATAAAAAAAAAACAGTAGGCTGTGCGACATCGCCGCGAGCGTGCACACTGCTCATAAGGAAGAGTCCCTTTATGACTCGAAACTAGTAGAGCTTTTCTCAATATATTTACGTGAGTATCCCGTCATTGTTAGTTAATTCTGTAATTTGATTCTACATTGGTTTAAAATCACATTTAGAATTAAAAGTACCTATAGCAAAAATGTAGATTGTGATAAAAAATAAACAAATTATCACTCTATACCTAGTATGAAACAAAGTCACTTTTCGCTTTCTATACGTTTCTATTTGTGCTTAAAAATCTTTAAAATTACAAACCATATTTTGATGTGATTGTTTAATGGATAGAGTGATTCAAGAGCAAAGTTTATATTTTACAAAATGTTCAAATTCAATGATTTTGTTCAAGACAACTTATCTGAAGTCAAAAATGTGGTTTACAGAATTTTTGTCTGTTAGTATGTATGATATGTCCGGGATGATCTCAAAAAGTACAGCATGATTTACTTAAAATTTTGTACGCTTATTACTAACAGGTCGGGTCAACATTTAGGCTATATATTATCACGCTATCATCTGCGGGGTAAGCTCAGTAAATCACTACTCCACGCGAACGAAGTCGCGGGCACAGCTCTTTATTTATAAGTAAGTAAACGATGTCAATCTGTCGTCTGTATCTGTACTTATGAAATAAAATAAAGTTCAGTAGCATTTCAAATACCATTCGTACAAACAATTAAAAACTTATACTTAGTCTAGAAATGTCCATTGAGTCATGGAATGAATTTTGTCATGATTACAGTGTGGTGGGATTTATATTAGCGCTTATATAATAATATTACATACATTAAGAGATGTACTGCCGTTTGATCATCAATCACCGCCTAAACTGTCACTTAGCGTGAGGAAGCGCCTAAGCGTCTACAAACCTCTTAAGGTTGATGAAAACAAAACTAATTTTAACTGTCACCTACCTTAGCTTAGCTTAGGGATTCTTTAAAGTTTAGAGATGTTGGTGAAGACAGGCGTTAGACACATAGGTAATGTTAATAAATTAATGACTAGTAAAGCATTCAATACTTATAGATTGACGGTAAAACTTATAAATTTAATTATAACTAATTTATAATATTAATTAATACTTTAAGTTGTTTTTTTACAAATGATATTCTGGTGAGTTTTTTGTACCGATTAGCTCTGTTACATGAAGTACCTAGGTATAGGTGGAAAGAAATATTTTGTTTTATTAAAGGATTTTAGGGTTATAGGATATTTTCTTCTTTTAGCAGATTTGCTCTAAGATTATAGTAGAATTTCTTTATAATGTATTGTTTGCAAATCTGTAAGTAGAATTGAATAATACATTTATCATAAATGCGAACTCCATAATAATACATTTTGAAAAAATATCTGACTGGTACCTACTCGAGACATGTTTGTGTGATCCACAAATTCGGGTCTGGGAGTGATGTGTATGTGAACTTGAATGTTTGTAAAACTACACACGACACAGAGAGAAAATCTTATTTTTTTTTATTAAAGGAGACTTAAATGGAATTTGTGTCTTTTGAAAAAGGCACTTTTTTAAATACGTATGTATGTATGTGTTTGTTAAAAGTTAATGTTATTAAGAATTGTTATAACATTGTTTATGTCTTTATTTATTTTTATTCAATGATTGATAAAAACGAAAATTCACAAATAATTATCATTTTTGTTATAAAAATATGTATATATTAATAATGACACTCATGAATAATATTTATTTATAAATAAGATTAATGGATTATTTCATTCTTCGCTTTTTATTATCTTTTTATCGTGTATTCCTTTAAATATGTTTTGTAGTAATTTTAAACTAATATGTTTTTCATTATCCAACAGGTACAATGTACATTGTACGTTTTATTCTTTGTAATTTTTTCAGTTTGATTTATTTGATTATTTTTATCTTCTTTATTTTAAAGTTAATAATAAAATTATTAATAAATTAATAATTTTATTATTAACTTTATCTCATTGTTAATTACTGTATCAGAACTTTGGTTTCAATAAAAAACTAATAAAGTATCAAAGTACCTAAATTAGTCGTAATTCTTAGGTGTTCCGAAAATTCCTTTTGAAAAAAATATTTTTAGTTCTATATATATATATTGATATAGAAAAAAAATATCCAGATAATTGATTGCAATAGTCCCTATGTTTATGTGCACAGATATATCTGTGTTTGCGTGTTATATTGATTGAAACTTTAAGTAGAATGGTAATAAAAATAAATGCTTCTATAAAATTTACAATTATCGTAATCATTATTTTTATAGTTATTCAACTAGAATATCTAAAATTAATGAGTTCAATTTACGCATCTCCGCGATTACGTTAAAAAATATTTCAACATCAGATTTTCGACGTCAACGCGTCAGAAGTGACATCGTCCAATTTGACGTCGTAATAGACGTTAACGTCTATAAATTCTATACTTAAATAAATAAGGTAACTTAATTTAGCTTACGTATAGTGCATTGCATATGAAATTATACTCTGTGACTATGTGCCTAAGGTGTAGAATTAAGCGGTCTCTCGGCTCTTCCCCTGCGTTTTTATGGAGTGCGCTAACCAAAGGGCTAGCACGATGCCTGCGACCTGCAATATACAAAATATTTATTATTTAAAACATGATTACTTCTTAAGTCAAGTTGTCGTGTTCAGATCTTGGATTAGGCACTTAATAATAATCCATGGGTTTTTTTATAAATTTTCATTAGCTTGCTTAGTTAAGCGTCCCACTAAATCCAAGATTACAAAAAATCCACAAAATTTGTTCATACAAAAGTATTCTTTAAATATCGGAAATAAAGTCTATAATGGAGTAAGTGGAGTACGTTCACCGGGGATTTGGAAGTTAGACTCTTACTAACACAAATGTGGAGAGAAAAATACAAAAAAGCTTTTAAATAGCACTTATTTTTTATTTCTATACAATTAGTAATTAACAGGACACATTTACTAGAAACTGCCAACTCGAATAGCGTTTTTAACCTAAAAAAGTTTTTATATTCGTCCTCATAAAAGAGGTCTATCGGCAAACTAGATCTTAAGACCCTTTATTTAAAGCATTTTTACGATACCTAGGCATGTAAGGAGGTCATCTAGATTAGCTGAACGTTCAATAAAGCAGTAGTTAAACCCTTCGGCCTAGGTCAGAGATGTAAGATTGTGGAGAATAAAATTTTCGAATAGCGTGACCCACGTGACGTCAGTAAGGCGCTACTAAGGGTTACGAACTCATTTCCATCTTAAAGCCGTTACTATTGTCGTGATAACGGAAATGTTTGGACTAAAATAAAACTGAAATAAACCGCAAAGTTTTAGACTAGAAAGTTTTGTTCTAAAAATTATCCTTAAGAATAAAAAGCTTGGGTAATATAATACTTTAATAAACTCAGTAACAAAAAAATCAACGATTGATTAGATAATAGAAGTAATAACTAGTAAAGCGCAAAAAGCCTTCCTTCATTCGATGATTTATTGAATTGCAAAAGGATTTTGTCATATTTTCCTAGTCTGTGTTGCTAGGCACGATCCTACCATAATATAAATTTATATATGAAAGTGTTAATAACATAAAATGTGATTATATTAACACAGTGACGCCTAGAGGCTGCACGATAATACTTTAGCCATTGATAGTTCTTTCGTAAGCAATAGGAGGTATTATCATATTTTTTCGAAGTGGAGTGATAATAGTTGCAAAGGGCCTGCCAGTCAACTGACTATTAAGCCCAATGGCGAATGGCGTGCTAAAGGAAAGGCTAAAATCCGAATAGGAACTAAAGTAGGTTAATTTCATTTTATTTCCTAAGGTTATTTATTTAAAACATTTCAAGAGCCTACATTTTAAATACAAAATCTAATCAAGACTTTCAAATTAAGCTGTTAGTGAGTTACAATGGTTGTGGCACTTGTGTAAATCCTTACCACACGAACATAGTTCGGACATGCAAAGTACCTTCTGTATTGCGGGTTTGTGAAAACTGTGTGTTACAATTTCATGTTATTTTTACGCATTAATTTTGTTCGCAAAACTTATTACCTATATGGCTAATATATAGTAGGCGTGTCAGTTAGATAATTAGCTAAAATATGTAGCTATAATTATTTCAAAGAGCTTTAGTTATGACTTTGTATGTGGTTTTATTGGAGTTAATTCTTGGAACTTTTCGATCAATATCGTTGCTTCATTAGCACGTCAACTATAGCAGCCAAGGTAGAATTATATCATAGTATAAAGAACACAGTAGGTTATCTAAGGCCGCCCGCCGAGTTATTAGCCTACTCTTGCGTTGATCCCCAGGGTTGTCACTTTTACTTTTAGTTAATATTTTCGAACAAGCAGCACTTGATCTAAATGTATGAAATGAAAAGCATATTATGATTGAATATTTTATCAATTTATAAATTTAGTAAAAATTAAAAGCTTATACAAAGATTATTAACTTCTTAAAATAAACTTTAGCTCTATACATAGTATTCAGAAAGTAAATTTGGGAATACATTTATATGGAAAAATGCGACTCGGCTACGCTCTTAACAAATCAGATAAAACTGTGAAATAAACAATACAATACCACATTTTTTATAATATTTAAGTATAGTAGGTAATTACATTCTGGTTGAGTAGGAACTATGAAGAATGATAAGAGTAAGAATAAGTAAGTAGGTATCTCATCATCAAGTACCTACAAATTATATTATGCTAGAAAAAGTGACTAGCTTACCTTTCCTGTTCAATAGGTACCTAATCTGAACAGAGACAGTTCTGGAATCGATTAATTATTAAGACACCCAAACACACAGCAATACGTTCTTCTACGATTATCAGACATTTTTTATTTCATTGAACAGTGCCGAAAAGCCGTGAAGCGCGCGCGAACCTCGTACAGTGTCAGCCCTGCCTGGCGCACTGAGAAACGGGTCGAGATTTTGTTAAAGTGTGCGTGCGTCGACGCATAGATACTATGGCGCACACATATAAGCCGCGCGTGGAGCATTTGTATGAAGATAACCTACTTTGTTCTTTATACTATGATTATATGGTTCTAGGACTTATGTAATACTGCTTTAAACAAAGCAAGTATAAACATTTATAGCTGTCGTGTGGTCATCGTTTCCTTTTTACTTCCTAGTCTGTGTTTACGTGATAAGCTGTAATGACTCAAATGGCTTGTTTGTCAATGAACTGAGGAGGATTTTAAAGCAAATGAATCGAGGATATACGTACATGAATACATTATCAAAATCGATCAGGAACCTAAGTTTCGATCAAAAATCGATTATAATATTCCTACTTAGATGCGGCTGACAGACAGTGCGGCTGCTGGGCAATCAGTCTCGGGTTCGATTCCCAGGTTGGGCAAAGTACTACTGGGTTTTTTAAAAAAGTCTCAGTAGTAGCACGACTTCTGGAATATTGTGCCTGGTGTATGGCAATAAGCTCACCTTCTATTTATTACATGGGACTTTTAACATAAGTAGTGAAAAGTGGGTGTTACATTGTACAGTGGCATTGAATGCCGTAATGTGCAACTCCGCCTTCGGGGATAAAAGGCGAAGTGTTTTGTTATGTTAATTTCTACTTTAAATGACAAATTCATAATGTACCTCCAAAAAGCAGAAGAGAATTCCACAGACGATGACGGTCATGCCAGCACTGTGGATCGTTCCAAGAACTTTGTCTTCACATCCTTCCTTGTAGTACTTTCCATCAGAGAGGCAGTTGGAGCGTTTGATCTCAGCGGAGTGATCAGTTCCATCGTTGGGGCAGCAGCTGAAGGAAGGGTTGATGCGAGGCTCCGAGGCTCCGTAGTTGTCAGGACCGGTGATGCCACAGCATTCCAGCTAGAAGATTAAGACAAATATTGTCATGCAATTGCTTTGAAACACCTTGTATTGCAGAACAGTTTTCAAAAATGAAGATTGTTTGAGTCAATGAGATTTATTAGTCAGTACTAATACATGTTATACTAAATTTGTGTTAATAAAGTGTGGGAGAGCCATACTTCGGCACGACTGGGCCGCGGCCGGCTCGACCGGAGTGATACCACGGTCTCACAGAAAACCGACGTGAAACAACGTTTGCGTTGTGTTTCTTCGTGTTAGTGAGGTTACCGGAGGCCCAATTACCCCCCTCCCTAGTCCCCGTCTCCCGAATTCCCGAATCCTCCACAATCCTCAAATTCCCAATTCCCAAAAGGCCGGTAATACTATAATTTTTTATTAAAACTTAACCCTTTCGAGGCCTTTTAAAGTGATGTAAACTAACGATGTAAAGTAAAGTGCTAACTCTGATGTATATATATAAGTCATTTATAAGTGATTAAAGTCTGATGTAGAAAATATTTTTTTTCATCAACCTTCGAAGCCCTTAAAGCTCGTCACTTTTTTCATATACATTTATACCCTCACTGTTGTCTCCCATGGGGTAGGCAGAGCCTATGGAACGCCAATTGCGACGATACTTACATACCTCTTTCGCCTTTGTCATACTTATATTGTAATAATTATTGTAAGTTATCCTTAAATTTTTATGTTTATTTCTACGTACTGACTCATTGGAGTCTTTGATACAAATCTACAATCGATATATACTCATTAAGCTCTACCAGGTCATGTCATACACGTGACAGTACAAATAGACATATTATTGTCTTTGTATACATATAAACACCTAATGATACTCCTAATGACAATGATTAGCGGTTGTTCTAACGTACCAGGAAGCAATTATTGCTTCAGTAAGTGTGACTTGAAAATTACTGTGACTTGTTAAACACAGGTCATTTTTAAACAACGAATTATTGAAGGAAAACGTATTTTATTTATATTCTTGGATTTAACATACGAAATTAAATCATCAAACCCATCGCTAAAATGCAGTAACACAATAGTTACCTCCCGCGCTATAGGTATTCATAGAGATGAGGACGACATGACACTTATTGCAATCCATCACGAACCACGTCATTTTATTTTTTTACTATCTAGGGCATCAAATCTAAGTAGCAAAAGAAACCATAGTTCCCAGAAAATAAGGCTATAATACGTTAAAAAAATCAAAAGCTTACGCTAGTCTGGACTCGGTCCCAGAATTCCCTGTAGGTAGAATCCTCTTCCTTGGTAGACTTGTTCTTGATGAAAGACGCTCGCAGTTGGGATTTCAGGGTGCTCTCAATCTGAGGACGTAAAGCGGCGGCAGCGATACCAACGGACAGCTCCAGAAGAATGATGATGATCAGACAGCCGACGAACTGAGAATTAAAGGGAAAGATTCTTAGAAGAACGCAGATGATAATATTTATTATTATAAAGTCCTATGTAACTTCATAATATTGTCATAATTACTTTTTAGGTATTTTTACCTTTTCTTCAGCACCTCTTTTTCTATGAGTATTAAAAATGTTTTACTTTTTTGGTTATGCGACTTCCATTTTATCTTTCTTGACTTCTACAGATAACATTTCAGCTTTTCTGTCGACGACGCTTTCTAAGTTTCCACAAAGCATTGCGTGTTAACATTGATAACTTCTCAGTCAAAAAAATCCGGAGTAAGTACTTTCTGAACTTTTCCAATTACGTGTCGAACTTAACCTAAATGAGCTGTCGTATTAAGCCTACTGACATAGTTTTTATGTTATGTGTGTTAGTGTACAACGCACTACGCTACATAAAACGGTTGAATGCACTACGATGACTGATTTAACAGATATCCTGTCATCGTCATTATCATCATGGAGTAGAGGGACTATTGTTTACTTCTCCAATCTTTATACGACCGTTTAAACCACTTTAAGTTTAAAACCATCTACAATTGTTTTGAAATCTTCCTCATCATTATCTGAATAATATACTGCCTTAAATAAAACAATAGGACATTTACCGACAACGCGATCCATCGGTCGACCTCATTACCATAGTGAGACCTGCCCATGACCAATTACGTTTTTGGGTCAATTTTGAAATATAGGCGAAAGTCACGATTTGAGTAGGTGGGTCAGAAGTGTAGTGTTGAGCTTCGGCCTAGTAACCATAAATTTTAATTAAATTACTCTGACACAATGAGTGGCAATGTGTGAAGTTAGATCATCGCCTATTTTGATATAATATGTAATTTTCGTCGGCTTTTATGTACAAGTTTTGATAGATTGTTAACCGCTAAAGGGACATAATAATTCATGTAGAAAATACAATATATGATAGAAATCTTTCTAGGTCTGCTTAGGAAAGTTCGCAAAGTTTTTGTTCCCGCGACTGACTTTTATAACTCTGATGAACTTTTTTAATTCTACATTTAGAAATAATGTTTTCACTGTACCAATGCGTAGTTGACCAGTGGCACAAGATACCTACTTATTGACGTCTTTCGATTAATTTAAGTACCTTAACACACTTCTTGATGAAATAAAAACTTTGTAGTGTACACAAGCTCGCCATGGCGACGTAGTAGCTACTTTTCGTCACACTCTATTGGTCAATTAACGCGTCTATTGGTGATTCGCAGTCCGCAGTCCATATTATTTGTTTCAAGGTTAAACTAAATATTGTCAACAGTTGCGTCTGTTGTGGTCCTTACTTATAATCTTTGTTTATTCCGTTCTATTTAGTTCATGGTCGACTGATGGTCATTTCATGCTTTCTAAAAGCGCCATTATTGAGCTAATATTGTATGTAAAATACTATAAATTAAATGTATTAAAAACTGTAATAATGGTAATTCTACGTGGATTATAATTAATTCTTCTTATAGTGCCATCGTCTTGCGAAGGTTGGCGATCGTTTAGGTTAATCTGCACTCTAGAAACCGCTGTTCGTAACAGTGATGTAGATGCAATGGAACTATTGGTGGAGGTCACAAAGCCAGGATCTAATTAATTGGAAGGATGAAACCAATGAAATGGGAATACTACTAAGTGTCCCCAATTTAGGGAAGAAGCAACCGGAACAGGAAGATTATGATGATGATGATGATCTTCTTTATATGTTCTGTGATGATGATGATGATGATGAGTGTACTCACGATGTATAACAGTTTAGGGCTCTCCTTCCAGGCACCGAAGCAACCAAAGGCCGCTATGATAATGATGAGGACCCCAATAGCGATCAGCAATGCGTCAGTTTCATGACCAGTCGGTTCCATGCCAGCGAACCCCTTGATCATACCCATGTCCACGCATGCTGCTGCTATTATCACGATGCCGAAGATCTGAAAGAAAAAGGAACGTTTTGTTATTGATTTGAATGTTTTTTTTTTGAGATTGAGAGGTGTTTTAGATGTCCGTGCTCTAGTCTATAGGTACGCACTAATTGGACGAGGTATTTATTGCATTTTTTAGACAAATCGACAAAAAAGGACTACCATAAAAGGACTGCCCGACTTAGGAAATTAGTGTCTAAAGCTCATACAGTTACTCGACCAACTAGTAAATGCTATCTAGGTAGATTATTTAAATAGAGGACAGAGGAAGCTGATTGATAGGAATAAATCTACCACTAAACGCTAACAAAACCTTGCAATCTTTTCGTAAATTAACTGACATTCTTTGATTTACATGTCTTTAATAACGTTCATAGTGAATATATCGAATCAGACAAATCAAGTAGCATCATCATCAACAGCCTATAAATGCCCACTGCTGAGCAAAGCCTCTTCTCACACGGAGAAGGTTAGAGCATTAATCACCACGCTTGCTCAATGCGGGTTGGCGATTTCAAACTTATAATTAGAAATTATAAGTCCAGGTTTCCTCACGATGTTTTTCCTTCACCGTTTGTCAGTGGTGTCTAAATAATCTTAGAAAGTACATATAACTCGGAAAAAGTCAGATTGGTACTTGCCGTTGGTAGGTTTCGAACCCGCACCCTCATACATGAGAAGTGGGCGTCTTAAACCTCCGGGCCACCACGACACTTTGTATCAAGTAGCATAATTACGTAATATTTCGAAAAGTGTGCCCATCTTATTTGCAGTGGGTGTTGTCAATTAGTAGCAATATCCGATTACTGTTTGGCAACACCCACGTGTTCTTACGTGTCGTGATTTGTAGTGTCAATAAGTACACGTTGACTCTTCTTATTATCGACATTACGCAGTTTCGTGTCGACATATGACCACTTTAATGAGGAAATCTTTCGAGACGAGCCCCTGACTAGTGTATTTCTATTAAATGGTTTTATTTACTGGACCCAGAGTTTTATCCCTTTCCTCACGGCAGATACATATATCTGGTATACATATTATATTTGATGGACTGACGTTTCACCACTAAGTATCTCTAGCACGTCTGCCCATAAGAAACCTATTCACTCGGGCCTTGAAGGCCCAAGTTAGAATAAACCAGGTTATACCCTTCAGGAAAAACAAACTCTGGCAAAGAATTCCACCCCTTAGCAGTACGCACAAGGAAGCTTGACGCGAAGCGCTTCGTGCGAGTGGGATCCACCATGGATCCACCATGAATCGGTGACGCTTCGTCGATTGTCTTGTGGTATGATGATAGACAGGACTAGGGGAAATCAATTAGTTGTGCAATTTCTTCGCACACTTACGGAAATGTACCAAGTCTTTCGGTTTTTTATATACATTACACATACTACAAAACGTATTATACTTAATTATTTTTTAAAAAACTATCTGCATTATAGATACCAAGCGAAGGGGCTTCATTGGTAGAATAGATTTGTTGAAATATCATCCCCTAAATTTGTTCTTACAAAATTCGTCTCTAAACATCGGAAATAAGGTCTATAATGTAGTTAGTGGAGAGCGGTTACCGGTGACCGCTTGGGGATAAATGGGAACCATTTTACATAAATAATAAGTGTATTATATTACTTGTTATTATTAAAGAGGTAGTTTTTTAGTGGAATGCAACTAACTAAACATACAACTTTCTAGTTCTTTTTCTGTTGATTCACCAGTTTCTGTGTAAAAGTTTTACAGACTCAATAATTACAGAAAACTAATTGTTTCTGTCGGTATGTTTGTTATTATTCATTAAAAATTACCACGTTGTATATGCAAGTATTGCAAGTGCTATAAATGAGATCTTGAGTTAACGAGTACATACATCTCAGAACTAATAAAGAAAGAAAGAACTAGATCTTTATGACACGATAACGATACGACAATACCTATTTAATGAAATATATCTCTTTTCAGATTGAAATGACGATTATCTCGATTTAAAAACGATAGCAATCTATCAACTAACTCTTCATAATTGGGATGATGACGGCGTACGAAAATTAAAAATCTAATTAGTCCGTAAGTTAGGTAATGAAAAAAATTAAACACGTAATTTTTTATTTTGTCGTATAATGAAATAATACTTAAATAAAATGAATCAAAGTATAGGAGTCAACGTCATATCTACGTATAAAATGTCCCTACATAGAAGTGACGTCACGTGACATTTCAAATCGATATATCGTCGAAAGTATTTGTTTCTGTAAAAAAATAAAACATACGTGTCTAATGATTTAAAATAATCTGCCAGACGGACATTAAAGTAAAAATTAGACATCTAGAAGTGAAGAATTTACTATTTATATCGCACATTATAGAAGAGAGATTGCTAAACATACCGGCTGACCGTGTCAGGTTGATATACGGGTCGTTAAAATAGGTCAGGTCGCCCTTCAGTGTAGTTTACAAGAAACGAAAGGAAGCGGGTCATAAATCGAGCACAAACTACACGATTCCGTGTCAAAAGTTTCGAAACTATTTCTTAGTGAAAAGGTATTATATTTCTTGAAGCAATAAAATGGTAACTTTGACCTTCTGATAGTGTGGAATGCAAATCTGAATTTGTCATTGTGGTTTTACGGAAATGACTCAATATAGACGTCACATCTCATATCTTATTATTATCTATACTAATATTATAAAGCTGAAGAGTTTGTTTTTTTGCATGTTTGTTTGTTTGAACGCGCTAATCTCCGAAACTACTGGTCCGATTTGAAGAATTCTTTCTGTGTTGAATAGCCCATTTATTGAGGAAGGCTATAGGCTATTTGACATCACGTTACGATCAAAATGCGCCGAGCAGAGCGAGTGAAACCGCGCAGAAGTAGCTAGTAAAATATAAAACTGAAAAAATTGTTTCTTTGATCACGCTAATCTCCAGAATTACTGGATCAATTTGAACAATTCTTTGAGGTAGGCTATAGACTATGTAAGATCACGCTACGATCAATAGGCGCCGAGCAGAACGGGTGAAACCGTGCGAGAGTGACTAGTTATATATGAGTATGACTAACACAGTGGCGTTGTTCTAATTTACTAACACTAAGCTAAATCTTAAAATGAAAAATTTACATTTGTATACATATTTATGGTTTTTTAAAAGCGGAGGTACAGGTATGTATGTATATGGTCATGAATGAGGTTCGGTTCGTACTACTTATCAAGTTACTAGCCTAAAACCTTCCTCGATAAATGCAATATCTAATTATTCCAATTGGTCCACTAGATTCGGAGATTTTCGCACTCAAACAAACAGACAAACTCTTTAGTTTTATATGTATATATCATAGTAGTTATATTAAGATAAGTATTGTAAGTAAACTTCTATCCACCAGTCGATACGATGTTACAGGGTTCATTAAGTACTGAGAATTTAAAAAATACTATTAAAAAGAATGCTTTAATTTCAAACGAAAATAACCTTTAATTACTGGCTTTAAAGTGCGATTAATTTTATTAGATTGTGGCTACTCATGCACATATATTATGTGGACAGATTGCGGTCGCATTTTTTTGTATTACCAATTTTCTGCTTTATGGATAATGCTAGAATATAGGTAATTGTATGAGCGATGACGTCATCTCGACCTTGTGGGAATTATTCAGTTGCACATCGCTACTGCGATCACTAGGTTTCCCGTCAAACACATTACTTTATTTGTTCATTATGCATTATTATTTAAAGTCCGTGAATAATGTATGCAAATAGCATTTTGCTGTAGTATATAATTAAATAAATGACTCTAAGGGACGAGATTGTTCTTTCTTGTGGTAGGTTATTGTATATTCATGTACTTAAATAAATAATTAAGCAAATAGCTAATTAGCGCGACGAATATGGCTTAGCCATAATCTTATAAATTATCTTGCATACACATGAAAACGCAAGACATTTTAACGAAACAATTTAAGCAGTAAATATTTTTCAAATAGATATATTTGTAGGTACTTATATGAAATAAGTTGTTATATAATTAATATATAAAGTTAGAGCCTCCTCTCACTTGTCATCGCCTGTGGTACAGGATTCTCCTAGTACAGGTATGCGAGATCAGTGGTAGCACGGAGTCTGGAATTGTGCCCGGTATACCTTTGGCAATAGGCTCACCCCCTATTACTTGGGGCTCTTTACATAAAATATTGAAAATTGGGTATTATGTGGTACTTTGGCATTAAGTGCCATAATGTGCACCTCTGCCTACCCCTTCGGGAAAAAAAGGCGTGATGTTATGTTGACGTTGTTATATAGTAGGTACCATCTCTTCTTTACAAGTGTGTGTGAATGTAGGTATGCAATTAATAAGCATGGTGGAGATGACGTCACGTTTCCATGGGCGATGGGCGTCAAGGTATTGTTCAATTATGGGTATTCCGTTCAATGTCAGCGGGCACGTCCTACATGACGATTCTATTTATAAAGATATATTTCTTTACTAAATCGGTTAGTTTTACAATTTAACTAACTTTTGCTAAATTTGGAGTCAAATATAAAGGTAAGGTTAATAATAAACCTATAAAACTTCGTAATAAAAAAACCGCATCAAAATCCGTTGTGTAGTTTTAGAGATTTAAGCATACATAGGGACAGACGGCGGATAGAGACTTAGTTTTATAGGTACTATGTAGTGTAAGGAGTAACATGACTTTATCCACACTTCTAAGATTATTATTATGATAGCAAAGCTGGTTGAAAGACTTGTGATGAAACTCCATATTGAAATAGATTATTAAAATTCTTAGTCATTTGACCTATGTTTAGCACGGTTTGGTCCTTATTCCATTAAACTACTTTTAAGTATTAATATTAGTAACTAGAGAAATAATGGTTTTTAATCTCTTTAGTAATTTTGATTTACTGTGTAAAAAATGTATAATACATTCATCAGATGACGTCCAAGTACAATTATGTGCAATAAAACTTTTTCTACGTTCACATTAGAAAAAAAAACGGTTCAAAA